TTTCAGGTATGGAGTAGGAATATATGCACAATGCTATCACACCTAAGTTTAATGAGATTTTGGTTACGTCGTTTTCTTCATTTTCAAGAAATAAAAACATGTCGTAAAAGTATTTGCTTGTTGTGTCCTCCTAGAGAATTGTTTAAGAAGACTTGTTTGGAGACGAATTCGTGATCGATAGTTTTCTTGCGTGTCACCTGCTCAGAAAGATACAAACACATCAATCTTCTGCATTCATACAGCACAAAATAAAAAGGAAAATAGAAAAACACAATTTGGACATCGGCATTTTCGTCTGATTGTTAGAAATTTCAACACATTCAATTTTATTTCAATATTTTCAGAAAACTGACCTCGGAGACGTTCGCACAATTGCGGTGTAGGCGTCAACCAAATAAACTGCCAATATAGAACGGATCACAACAAGGAGAGAGTGGCATTTATACTGTAATGAATCCAAAGGTGGCCTAGTATTGTCTATGCTAATGATGGACGTAAAACAAGGAAACACGAGACGTTTGTTCCATAAGAACGCTAGATGAAACAAAACAACCCGACACGATCTCAATGAGGTTTTTTTTTACCGCTACGGACATTAGATACATAATATGATAGCGAAATTGTTTCATAACATTCAAAAGACAGATGCTGAGATGTCAGACAATTGGACCAAAAGATCTTTAAGAAAACATTTTTTTCGAATATTTTTGAAACCGGTGTTTAGCGAGTGGGGGTCAACTAAAATCATATTTCATTTCTTTTGATGCGTTTCGTCATGAATTAACCCGAGTTCCTTTTAGTCTTCAAAATGACACATAGTCGTCTACTAATCCAACTGTAATAATATAATGATAAATAAGCTTATAAAGTGTCCCTGATTTCAAATGTCAAATGGTAATATCCCGAGCTTCAAATAATATGTTTTTAATATGTTATTCTCCGTTAGGAAATATGATGAATCAAGTAAATCACAAAGAGAGATGACGTCACGATCTACAGATTAATCGTATATATAGTTTAATCGCTTAACTGTTAGAGGTTGTCCATACACTTGAGTTTACATGTTACGTTCAAGATCATCCCATTCTTTTAGACTCAGAAGAGAATACACAACACCTTATTATCTTGCTTTTTGGTTCGATTGTTTATGCCGGAAACAAACAAGTAAAAATTATATTCGAAATCAACACATAACAACAAGATGGCACAATCCGGAATAAAAGCATTTCAGGATAAAGTTGTGTGTGGAAAAACCTGTCCACAAGTATGTATACAGACTAATCGATGTACAGGTGTATACAACTATACTTCTTGGTTCACGACTTCCCCTTCAATGGTTTTGATTGCGGCGCGCGTATCTATATGTACAAGTTTAACAATATATCTGTCGCTGTCTACTATACCTTTTCCGAATATACCATGCCTTCCCAAAACATAAAATTCTTGAATTTACACGACAAAAATGAAATTGCAAATGAAATAAATATTAAGATTGAAAATTTTAAGATATTGCCCATCTTGTCTACAATGTGAAGTACGATACTAGCCTTAATTGTAGTGATTATTGCATTAAGGATGGGAACACTAAATGCTATTATGTACGTTCTGTAACACACACATACACAGTTGTTACAAATAGAGTCACTCACTTTTGCAACCCTGTATAGCAAAAGTTTTTGTTACTACCGACACCTTGTGCATTGTATGTGTTGCATATTGTTTTCTTTCAAACCGGAGCTACGTATAAATTGAACCAGAAATACTTTGTATTGAAGTTTGATCAATCTATTGTAACTTACATGTATAGGATTATAATGCGATCTATCAAAATAATAAGTTAACTTATGAAATCAACAACAATGCAGCAGAATCAGTCGACCAATCAAATAAAACAACTTATTACATGTACGAGTACATCAAAGAACTGTAATCCACCAAAAAACAGTATTCACGGCGCACTTAACATTATAATAAGAATTTACATTCAAATTCTGGATAACGTAGTTTTACAAGTTAACAGCTAAGAGATTCGTAATTACGATAGCGGAACACGTGTACATATGTATAAACTAATTACTTAAACGTATTATATCAAGATTGTATCAAATCCGGATTTGTTGAAGAGTAAGTCATTTTATATATATTTGGTAGTTTTATTTAAGTTCATATCTGCTATATAATGGTATTAGATATTTGTATTATCATCTGCCGAATGATTATTAACAACGTATATTTCTAAACTCTACAATGTTCAATTCACCAGTATGTCCCAACGGGTAACTGTTGATAACAGTACTTAGCTAGTCAATCTAACAGCCTTCTAAAACAGATATACGTTGTCATAAAGAAAGAAAGGGTTTGGAATTACTTAAATTTTAATAAAAAGTAACAATACATGCCCAAACTAATACACACAGGGCCCTGTGATGAGATAAGATTATTTTCTCGATAGGCTATGTGTACAGCTTCTGCATCGGAAGGGGGATAACTCGAGAAAAGTTATGGCTGAACTCTGCTGTATACTTGTAAATACATGTATTCTAGTATAAAATAGATATATTTGCAGCGTGTGGTACAAATCAAACATCAACAAGGCATCTTAATAGTGTTTTCGTTTTATTTGTACATGTTAGGTATAATTATGCTTTACAAAATGATAGACTCTAGTTATAATTCCATTGTTTGATCGTTTGCGTGTGAGTATTAATTAGCATGGAAGTCTACCGGCAGTCACCTTGAAAAAGAAATGCACATTTATTTTGAAAGTTCATACACAACGTAATAAAATACATGTATGTTGAAAGCTCAAATACAATTTAATTAATTCTACCAATATTATAAAGCATGGATAAGAATTGAGCTGGTATATCATAACGTGACTGTACTATCTTGAAACATATATCTATACATCTTATCTAACCACGATTGGTACATGTATAATAACACTGTACACATGCATTGTAAATAATGTCAGAATCGTTAATCTTACAAATATATAACTCACATGTTTCACATGTACTTTCATGTTTTAAATGAACCTACATGTTTTAATTGTACCTACATGTTGTAAATGTACCTACATATTTTAAATGTACCTACAACATTATGTACTAAGCATTACCGTTTCCTCATTAATTGTACCTAATATCGTAAAGTAATCCTGCATTGCCCATAGCCCGGATTTCCTCTTGCCCTTACACCAGACATTTTGACATAGATATGTCTGGTGTGGGGCCAGATCTAGAGCGTATACTACTATATGACAACGTGGAATTCTCCGACAACTCTTGGTATCGGAGAGTTTTGTGGTCTGACAACAAAAATCGACTATGACACAACACATACAATGGGCCTAACATAGATCGATACATGGATAATTTATTGATCCAAACCCGCTCTTATTATCACCAACATCTGTTAAATTCCGTCAGTAGAGTCCTCAGTTTACAATCGTTCAAAATGTCTCACCTGAGCGAACGCCATTTTGTAGGTCATGGAAGTAACTAAATCTTTATTATCATGATCGCTATTTCATAAATCCTACCACTTCTTCATAAATGCTATAGAAACTTCCTTAATCTTTCTAGTATTACTCATAAATCCTACCAGTAGTTAATTTATCCTATCAGAACTTCATAAATTCTACAGGTACTTCATAAATCCTACCAGTTTTTCTTAAATCTTACCGGTAATTCATAAACATAACCTGTTGAAACATCATTCATATAACTGATTTAAAATCATTGTACTTGCAAATCACGAAACAAAGCACATATCATAATTTCATCAGGTCTATCGGTTTAAGATGAATTATATTACACAACACCAGATTGAAAATATTTTAGCACCACACTACCTGTAACTAATCATACATATGTACATGTACATGTGTCTTACACGCATCACGAAAAAAACATTTGTAATAAAAAAAAGTAAACATATGTGTACATGTTTGTAGCTTGATCATTGTGGTCGGACCAGCCGATTTAAATAATAAAACTAAATAACAACATGTATTTTGTGTAATACATCCTCATAAAGAAATTATCAAAAAACACATACATAAACACACACACACACACACACACCAACACGTTAAAAAGGCAACATCTTCACAAACGATTTACATCGCATCGAGTATACAATGGAACCTCGCTATTCCGGAAAAAAACAGATGGAATATAAAATATCCGGATGGTAATGATTATGCATGATCATTGTACACATGTACACTTACAAATACGTTCTCCCGTCCATTTATGACCTTTGTACATCAATACAGTTTACATATATAGAGAATATTTGATGGTGTCGTCAGAAAGAACAAATATATTTCATGAGATAGGCTAATATTTTGATATTTTACACGAGTGCGCAGCAAAAGTGAAAAATATCAAAATATTAGCCACACGAGTGAAATATATTTGTTATTGCTGAAGATACCATTGAATTTTCTATTTTTTACATTTTTAAAGCATAAAACATGAAAATGTAATGCATTAAAAAAGGGCGGGAATCAGGAGCGTAATAATTAGCACCATATCCTAATGACGTCACACTTGACAACAAGGCTGCGCGCCATTTTGAATGGGATTCTCAACGCAATTTCGACGTTTTCTGCAATTTTCTGGTATGATTGCTTATAAAAATGTCATTTTTGGTATATATCTGTAAATAGTTAAGTCTGTGTACCAAACATTTACCATAATAGCCACTTATTCTACCGTCGCTTCATGTGAATCTGTGACAAAATATCGTTGTCTTTGAATGCCGCGAATAGAAGATACCGTTATGATTGGACAATATTAAAAAGTGATATTTTCACACTGTGAAAATATCACTTTTGATATTTGCCACAGTGTGAAAGATATCAATTTTATCAAGTTGATAGAATCCGATATTTCACAGGCAGAAATGTTATAAATCATATTCTGTCACCCATTTATAAAAAATATCAAACAATATCGATATCGCTCTCTTAGTTTATGTTAATATTCGAAGGCAAGAAAGGGGTCGAAGGATTTTTTGTTTACAAATGTTAAAATGTATAGTTTTTAACCAATGGGTAAAATGCTCGAGAAACATTTGGAGTTACTTCCCTTATAACACTATCTTAACTGAATACTAGTACATGATATAACGATAACGTGATGCATGACCCCAGACAGAAAAACTTGTATATGTTGCTAAATATTTGAATGACGTTTATGCAAATGACATTGGAAAATAGACAATCTTATAAAACTAAAACAAACTTAAGTATTAACTTTCCCATTTTCTGTTAAGTATTCCAATTGGATTTGTTCATGTTTTTTATGTAGGTCATACACATACCAATTGTCTTGATGGCCAGAACCCATGTTCACACTAACATTGACGTCATTGAGTATATACTGTCTAGATATCTTCCGGCGTTGACGTAGATATACGAACAACCCAGAAACACAAATAGCAGCCAAAACAAAGAAAGTGACGAGGACACCAATTATGATAGGTCCGGATTTTGTCTTGTCAGAATCGAGTTCTAAAGGACTGGCCACGGCATCAGTTGACATGTTCGTGGTTGAATTTAAATCAACAGATATGGTGTTATTGTCGGACTTCGTTTGTGTCGTTGAAGAAGATGGAGTCGTTGTTGGCGTTGTAGTTGTCGGATTCTTTGTTGGTGTCGAAGTTGCTGGTGTTGCAGTTGTTGGAGTCGTTGCTAAGACTGTAGTTGTTTGATTTGTTATTGTTGTTGTAATTGTTTCATTCATAATTTGTTTAGTAGCTTTTGGGGTCGTTATTGAGTTTGAAGTTGTTGGAGTCGTTAATGGAATTCTTCTTGTCGGAGTAGTTTTTGAGGTTTTAGTTGTTGGATTCGTTGTTGGTGTTGTAGTTGGAGTTGTAGTTTTTATAGTCGTAGATTGGGTTTTGGTTGCCGGAGTCGTCGTTGAGGTTGGAGTTGTCGGAGTTGTTGTTGGCGTTGAAGTTGGCAGTGTTGTAGTTGTTGGTGTTGTAGTTGTTGGATTCGTTGTTGTAGTTGTTGGTGTTGTAGTTGTTGGATTCGTTGTTGTAGTTGTTGGTGTTGTAGTTGTCGGCGTCATTGTTTGAGTGGTTGTTTGGGTTGTAGTTGTTGGTGTTATATTTGTTGGAGTTGTTGTTGTTGGTGTTGTAGATGTTTGTGTCGTCCTTGATGTTGTAGCTGTTGGATTCGTTGTTGGTGTACTAGTTGTTGGAGTCGTTGTTGGTGTTATAGTAATTGGAGTCGTTGTTGTTGGTGTTGTAGTTGGAGTTGTAGTTTTTATAGTCGTAGTTTGGGTTTTGGTTGACGGAGTCGTCGTTGAGGTTATTGTTGTCGGAGTTGTTGGCGTTGTAGTTGTTGAAGTTGTCTGAGTTGTAGCTGGTGGTGTTGTAGTTGTTAGTGTCGTAGTCCTTTGAGTCGTTGTTGTTGGTGGTGGTAATGTAGAAGCTGTCGGAATCGTTGTTGGTGTTGTAGTTGTTGGTGTTGTAGTTGTTGGTGTTAAGGTTGTTGGAGTCATTGTCGGTGTTGTAGTTATCGGAGTCGTTGTTGTAGTTGTTGGTGTTGTAGCTATCGGAGTCATTGTTGTTTGTATTGCAGTTGTTGGAGTCGTTGTTGGTGTTGTAGTTGTTGGTATTGTAGTTGTCGGGGTCGTAGATGTCGAAGTCGTTGATGGGGTTGTAAGTGTTGGAGTCGAAGTTAATGATGTTGTAGTTGTTGGTGTTGTTGTTGGTGTTGTAGTAGTTCGAGTCTTTGTTGGTGTTGTAGCTGTCGGAGTTGTTGTTGATGTTGAAGTTTTTGTTGGTGGTGTAGTTAATGGAGTCGTTGTTGGTGTTTTAGTTGTTGGTGTTGAAGTTGTTGGCGTTGTAGTTGTTTGAGTCTTTATTGGTGTAGTGGTTGGAGTCGTTGTTGGAATTGTAGTTGTCGGTGTTGTTGTAGATGCTTTAGTTGTTTGTATTGTAGTTGTCGGAGTCGTTGTTATTTGTGTTGTAGTTGTTGGAGTCGTTGTTGTTGGTGTTTTAGTTGTTGGAGTCGACGTTGGTGTTGTAGTTGTTGGTGTTGTAGTTGTTGGTGTTGTAGTTGTCGGAGTCGTTGTTGTTGATGTTGTAATTGTCGGAGTCGTTGGTGTTGTTGGAGTCGTTGTTGATATTGAAGTTGTCGGAGCCGTTGTTTGTGTTGTAGTTGTTGGAGTCATTGTTGGTATTGTAGTTGTCGGAGTCGTCGTTGTTGATGGTGTTGTGGTTGTTGAAGTCGTTGTTGGTGTTGTAGTTATTGGTGTTAATGTTGTTGGAGTCGTTGTCGGCGTTGTAGTTGTTGGCGTTGTAGTTGTCGGTGTCGTTCTAGGTGTTTTTGTTTTTGGTAATGTAGTTGTTGGAGACGTTGTTGTTGGTGTTGTTGTAGTGGTTGGTTTTAATGTTGTTGGAGTCGTTGTTGGTGTTGTTGTTGTCGGAGTCGTTGTTGTAGTTGTTGGCGTTGTAGTTGTTGGAGTCGGTGTTGGTGTTATAGTTGTTGGAGTCGTTGTTGGCGTTGTTGTTGGTGTTGTAGTTGTTGAAGTCGTTGTTGGTGTTGTTGTTGGTGTTGTAGTTGTTGAAGTCGTTGTTGGTGTTTTAGTTGTCGGAGTCGTTGTTGGTGTTGTTGTTGTCAGAGTAGTTGTTGTAGTTGTAGTTGTTGGAGTCGTTGTTGGTGTAGTTGTTGGCGTTGTAGTTGTCGGTGTCGTTCTAAGTGTTTTTGTTTTTGGTATTGTAGTTGTTGGAGACGTTGTTGTTGGTGTTGTAGAGAGTTGTGTCGTTGTTGGTGTTGTAGTTGTTGAAGTCGTTGTTGTTGGTGGTGTTGTAGTTGTTGGTTTTAATTTTGTCGGAGTCATTGTTGTTGGTTTTGTAGTTGTTTGCGTTGTAGTTGTTGTTGTCGGAGTCGTTGTTGTAGTTGTTGGCGTTGTAGTTGTTGAAGTCGTTCTAGGTGTTGTAGTTATTGGCGATGTAGTTGTTGGAGTCATTGTTGGCGTTGTTGTTGGTGTTTTAGTTATCGGAGTCGTTGTTGCTGTTGTAGTTGTTGGCGTTGTAGTTGTCGGTGTCGTTGTTGGCGTTGTTGTTGGTGTTGTAGTTGTTGGAGTCGTTGTTGGCGTTGTTGTTGTAGTTGTAGTTGTTGGAATCGTTGTTGGTGCTGTAGTTTTTGGCGTTGTAGTTGTCGGTGTCGTTCTAGGTGTTTTTGTTGTTGGTATTGTAGTTGTTGGAGTCGTTATTGTTGGTTTTGTAGTTGATGGCGATGTAGTTGTTGGAGTCGTTGTTGGCGTTGTTGTTGGTGTTGTAGTTGTTGGAGTCGTTGTTGGCGTTGTTGTTGGAGTTGTAGTTGTTGGAGTCGTTGTTGGTGTTGTAGTTGTTGGCGTTGTAGTTGTCGGTGTCGTTCTAGGTGTTTTTGTTGTTGGTATTGTAGTTGTTGGAGACGTTGTTGATGGTGTTGTAGAGGTTTGTGTCGTTGTTTTTGTTGTAGTTGTTGAAGTCGTTGTTGTTGGTGGTGTTGTAGTTGTTGGTTTTAATGTTGTTGGAGCCGTTGTCGGTGTTGTAGTTGTCGGAGTCGTTGTTGTTGGTTTTGTAGTTGTTGGCGTTGTAGTTGTTGGCGTTGTAGTTGTTGGAGTCGTTGTTGGTGTTGTTGCTGTCGGAGTCGTTGTTGTAGTTGTTGTAGTTGTTGTTGTAGTTGTCGGAGTCGTTGTTGGTGTTGTAATTGTTGGTGTTAATGTTGCTGGAGTCGTTGTCGGTGTTGTAGTTTTCCGAGTCGTTGTTGGTGTTGTAGTTGTCCGAGTCGTTGTTGTAGTTGTTGGCGTTGTAGTTGTTGGAGTCGTTGTTGGTGTTGAAGTTGTTGGAGTCGTTGTTGTTGGTTTTGTAGTTGTTGGCGATGTAGTTGTTGGAGTCGTTGTTGGCGTTGTTGATGTCGGAGTCGTTGTTGCTGTTGTAGTTGTTGAAGTCGTTGTTGGTGTTGTAGCTATCGGAGTCGTTTTTGGTGTTGTTGTTGTCGGAGTCGTTGTTGGTGTAGTAGTTGTTGGCGTTGTAGTTGTCGGAGTCGTTGTTGGTGTTGTTGTTGTCGGAGTCGTTGTTGGTGTTGTAGTTGTTGGAGTCGTTGTTGTTTGTATTGTAGTTGTTGGAGCCGTTGTTGTTGTTGTGGTTGTTAGAGTCATTGTTGTTGTTTTTGTTGTTCTTGTAGGTGTCGTTGTAGGTGTTGTTGTTGTTGTTGTTGTTGTAGTTGTTGGAGTCGTTGGAGTCGTTGTTGTTGGTGTTGTAGTTGTTGGAGTCGATGTTGGTATTGTAGTTGTCGGAGTCGTTGTTGGTGTTGTAGTTGTTGGAGTCGTTGTTGGCGTTGTTGATATCGAAGTCGTTGTTGCTGTTGTAGTCTTTGAAGTCGTTGTTGGTGTTGTAGCTATCGGAGTCGTTTTTGGTTTTGTTGTTGTCGACGTCGTTGTTGGTGTTGTAGTTGTTGGCGTTGTAGTTGTCGGAGTCGTTCTAGGTGTTGTTGTTGTTGGAGTCGTTGTTGTTGGTGTTGTAGTTGTTGGAGTCGATGTTGGTATTGTAGTTGTCGGAGTCGTTGTTGGTGTTGTAGTTGTCGGAGTCGTTGTTGGTGTTGTTGTTGTCGGAGTCGTTGTTGGTGTTGTAGTTATCGGGGGCGTTATTGGTGTTGTAGTTGTTGGCGTTGTAGTTGTCGGAGTCGTTCTAGGTGTTGTTGTTGTTGGAGTCGTTGTTGGTGTTGTAGTTATCGGGGTCGTTGTTGGTGTTGTAGTTGTTGGCGTTGTAGTTGTCGGAGTCGTTCTAGGTGTTGTTGTTGTTGGAGTCGTTGTTGTTGGTTTTGTAGTTGATGGCGATGTAGTTGTTGGAGTCGTTGTTGGCGGTGTTGTTGGTGTTGTAGTTGTTGGAGACGTTGTTGGCGTTGTTGTTGTAGTTGTAGTTGTTGGAGTCGTTGTTGGCGGTGTTGTTGGTGTTGAATTTGTTTGTGTCGTTGTTGGCGTTGTTGTTGTAGTTGTAGTTGTTGGCGTCGTTGTTGGCGTTGTTGTTGGTGTTGTAGTTGTTGGAGTCGTTGTTGGTGTTGAAGTTGTTGGAGTCGTTGTTGTTGGTTTTGTAGTTGTTGGCGATGTAGTTGTTGGAGTCGTTGTTGGCGTTGTTGATATCGAAGTCGTTGTTGCTGTTGTAGTCTTTGAAGTCGTTGTTGGTGTTGTAGCTATCGGAGTCGTTTTTGGTTTTGTTGTTGTCGACGTCGTTGTTGGTGTTGTAGTTGTTGGCGTTGTAGTTGTCGGAGTCGTTCTAGGTGTTGTTGTTGTTGGAGTCGTTGTTGGTGTTGTAGTTATCGGGGTCGTTATTGGTGTTGTAGTTGTTGGCGTTGAAGTTGTCGGTGTCGTTCTAGGTGTTGTTGTTGTTGGAGTCGTTGTTGTTGGTGTTGTAGTTGTTGGCGTTGTAGTTGTCGGTGTCGTTCTAGGTGTTGTTGTTGTTGGAGTCGTTGTTGTTGGTTTTGTAGTTGTTGGCGATGTAGTTGTTGGAGTCGTTGTTGGCGTTGTTGATGTCGAAGTCGTTGTTGCTGTTGTAGTCTTTGAAGTCGTTGTTGGTGTTGTAGCTATCGGAGTCGTTTTTGGTTTTGTTGTTGTCGAAGTCGTTGTTGGTGTTGTAGTTGTTGACGTTGTAGTTGTCGGAGTCGTTGTTGGCGTTGTAGTTGTCGGAGTCGTTGTTGGTGTTGTTGTTGTCGGAGTCGTTGTTGGTGTTGTAGTTGTTGGCGTTGTAGTTGTCGGAGTCGTTGTTGGTGTTGTTGTTGTCGGAGTCGTTGTTGGTGTTGTAGTTGTTGGAGTCGTTGTTGGTGTTGTAGTTATCGGGGTCGTTGTTGGTGTTGTAGTTGTTGGCGTTGTAGTTGTCGGTGTCGTTCTAGGTGTTGTTGTTGTTGGTATTGTAGTTGTCGGAGTCGTTGTTGGTGTTGTAGTTGTTGGAGTCGTTGTTGTTTGTATTGTAGTTGTTGGAGCCGTTGTTGTTGTTGTGGTTGTTAGAGTCATTGTTGTTGTTTTTGTTGTTCTTGTAGGTGTCGTTGTAGGTGTTGTTGTTGTTGTTGTTGTTGTAGTTGTTGGAGTCGTTGGAGTCGTTGTTGTTGGTGTTGTAGTTGTTGGAGTCGATGTTGGTATTGTAGTTGTCGGAGTCGTTGTTGGTGTTGTAGTTGTTGGAGTCGTTGTTGTTTGTTTTGTGATTGTTGGAGTCGTTGTTTGTATTGTAACTGTTGGCGTTATAGTTGTTGGAGTCTTTGTTGTTGGTGTTGTAGTTGTTGCAGTCGATGTTGGTATTGTAGTTGTTGGTGGTATTGTAGTTTTCGGAGTCGTCGTTGATATTTTAGTTGTTAGAGTCGTTGTTGGTGTAATAATTGTTGGAGTCGTTGTTGGGGTGGAAGTTGCCGGATAGGTTGTTGGAGTTTTTGTCATTGAAGTTGTTGGTGGGGATATTGATTTTGTAGTTGGAGTTGTTAATGGTTTCCCAGTCAAAGTTACATTTAGATTAGAAGTCAAAGCTGTAGGTAGAAGTGAAGTTGGTTTTTCATTCGACACAGTTGTAGATGGCGTGTTTGTCATTGTCATTACGTTTTGTAAAGGTGTTGATGAAGTATTCTGCCACGTGGCTGCTCGCTTATTTCTTCCAATAGTCCACATCACAATATTGCCCACTGCTATGTTACTGTTCTCAGGTTGGCCTTGGGGTACAAACCCAACCTAAATTAACGGAAAATGAAGCTTTATATTTTGGACACAAGTTGAAGAACAGTGATAAAATACAAGGAATGACATTTTCTAAACACAATCTCGTACATGTAGTTTGTCATTTGTCGTACGGACAATGTATATGATCTAGCTGTATATAGTGTAGGTAAAAAATGTATAAACATTGTAGCATTTCAGAGCAATCGAAAATGCAAACACGTGTATCAGAGAGTATTCATATCATCCTGGGCCCGTTTTTAGGAAACCATTATCATGCTTAAGCATAAAGTTTGACCCCAACTTTCTTGTGATTCCTCTAAATCACAGTAAAATGTCCGATTTAAATATTAAAAATGGTATACGGCTTTAAGTCTCCCCACAACCCTTACAACTTATTGACCTAAATGAGTTTATTAATTTATCCCTGAAACAAGACTTAGCTTGTGCTTGAGCACATAATCTGAGTACGGGCCCTGGACCTTTTTCAGAACAAGACAACAAATCAACATGTATGTTATATTTCAGTATCGACTGAAATTTTGTCATTGACAATTGAATTACAGTTGAAACTAGCCTTAAATGGTCGTATGCTGCTGAGTGATACCATAATAGTAGTCCATTTGTTAAGGTGGAGTTGTTTCCCTTTGGAAAACCATAACCTCGTTGTGGTATTAGTGAGAGCGAGAACCTCCAGATCGGCAGTACTCTGGCCCGCGAGGTAGGAGAACTGTATACACACAACCCCTGGGCTGATGGTCGGACTTCTCAGGGTACCAGTCATACCATGAGACGGCGACACGTAATCCGGTTCTATATGAAAACCTATGACGGAAAAGTACACAGGCTTAATAGCTTTGCAGTTTACTGTCTCACGCAATCTCCGGCTTTCGATACTTCATTAAATTGGACATGATGGAACAACATGTTCTTTAATCTAAAAGTCAATGGCATCGGGAGTGCAAACACATTTCAAATGCACTTGTGTACATGCTTAAACCAACACAAATAAAACGTTCAATAAAACATAGAGTGATATTGTCGACATTTCTGATGTGTCTGCACATTTTGTTAATGTTATGTTATTTCTCTAATGGCGATCAAGAGTGTTTACTCTGTCATGAATGTGCTTCCTAATATCAAAATGTAGCCGTAACGCCGGGTCTTGAAATTCATTCGTAATTGCTTGTCGAGCGAGAGAATTTTATTTGTTTTGCTACATTTGCTTTATTCCAAATGTAATTTGCAAGATTTTCCTATCTAAGAACTTAAATAAATTTGATTTTTAAGTTTAAATAAAACACATTATGTGAACAAGTCTTTTATGTTATCATTTCTAAACACATATCTTTTTTAGCATATCTTTTTTCAATTTCCTGTTAGACGTTTTATCCATATAGATATTTTTATAGTTAGGAATACCAACTGGGGTAAATTCAACAGAAGAATTGGCTAAAACACAATTAAAATTAAATAAAATAAAATTCTAACTTTAGAACTTTCGGGTCGACTTAAACTGATCTAAAGTTAAGTTGAATGTGGTTTTCTATTGATGCTCGCTGATAATCCTAAAATCTTAACACGGTCTGTGTAGTCCTCAACACTACATTTGGAGGGATTCATATGTCAACTACATGTCAACTAGACATAATGACTGTATTTTAACCACATGTCACACAGCTATATAAAACATAATGCAAATTGATTGTCACATTTATCTTCTTTTTCTTAAACAAAAAATGACTTGAAAAGTAAAGAAGAGGCAAGCAATGATGTTCTAAATGTGCAACGTAACAATTTAAAGTTATATATCCATTATTGAACCAGAACAAATATTTGCGTATATAGATACGTGTAACAGATCTGAGGACATCCTGGCTGAAAAGTTCAAACTGACGACTTTTCGAGTTTTACAAAAAAATAAATAAGTTTATGTTGTCTAAGAACAAATTAAATCACGTTTCATCCTTATTTCATTATCAAGAACCTGTTATGTCGGGTTACAGTGAAACAGCGTACCTTTTTCTGCTCGACGCCTTTTCCATGTAACTTGGTCACCACCTGGACCTCCTCCTGACTCGTATCCACACAGGGAGGTCTCAAAATCACAGCCTTGCGCGAGAATTGTGTGCTCTGTCGAAACACCGCAGACATCAGTGGACAACGGTTCGACATCTTTCACACGAGACTTTAAGTAATTTGAAGATTCGAGGCAGTAAAATGTTTCTGAAAGCAAAAATCCATTTTTGAAAATTATTCAAATTCACATAAACCTTTTACAGATAAATAATATAAAAATAGAGCACATTCAAAACCCAAAACGGTACCAGTTATTTATAGGTGCCTTAGAAACACAAAATACAAAGGAGACAATTGGCTCACTTATACTCTCCAGCTTATACGTGTAATTGGGACTTACAGCGCGAAATAGGTCGTACCATACAAGTGACTCTACAACACATAAACATATTGGAGAAGGATGCAAAGCTTTTTGCAACGGTTAGTATTTCGTTTTTCTCGATATGATCTTGGTGACAACTAAACTTACTCTGCATATGTTCTGTATACTGTAAAGAGACCAAACAAAATGTATATTTGGTTACAATTGGTTAAAATGCATTGTTATTATAGAATCATCAAGAACAAAATAAGTGTATAAATTGATTACATTTTCATAAGTAAAACTTTGGACAAAATAATATCGTGTTATTAATAATAAGTTTATCAATACTATTGCTGTTGACACTACGGTTGCCAGTTTTTCTCTATAAACATGTTTCCCAAGGAGTTTAAAGATATATGTAGCATGTGAATATCGTTCCATTGAGATCCACGGTATACATGTACATGTAGGTGGGACAAAATGGCGCATCAGTTAGTGAACGTCTGTTGTCAATAGAGACAAGATGTCCAAATTAAATGCAAAGGGGTGAAGCCAGACTATTCCATCTGGTGCATTTCAACTTATGTTTTACTTATGATACTTGTTTCACAATAACTAAAGGAGGGCAAGTAACGTATTCACTAGCAATCGTGACTGTCTACCCAATTGTCCGGCTTGTTTTACGACTCGCAGATCATTAGTTTTAGTCATCCGGTCGAATAACACATTGCCTAACTTTGTTCCTGTAAAATCCTGGACTAGGGAAACGGAGCATTGAAGCCAGCTGGTGTCCTTTTGATTCGTGATCTTTCATATTTTTTGATGAAAATAAATAAATTTCAAAACGTTTAAAGTAAAGTAAAGTAAAGTTAAGTTAATATAGTTGTGTGTTTTTTGTATGTTATTTAGCACACTTTCCACCTTAAAAAAGTATCATGCTTGGTCTAAATCATAGTGAATAAAATTGCCTTTAAGATTGTGGTAGAAAGAAGTTCCAAACAAGGTGAGCTTCAACGTTATGAAACATGAATTCAATAACCTCACCACGTCGTCCAAAACAATCTAAAGGAAGTCTAATTTTAACAAACAAAAACTCACTTAAACGCTTTTTTATCTACTTGACGTGTCTTTTTTGTTCTGTTTTTTGTTCTTTTTTTTCCATTTTTTTTTATCTTTTTTTTGTCCAGTCCCACGAAAAATTGTGATTTTTCAAAACTTATTTTCATTTGTCTAGGACATTATTTTGTTGACACTTTCGAAACTTCAGAAACCAAGTAAAGTGGGAAGGACATGATGCAAGAGGTACGTGTAATGCCATGGTGGTACAGGGTGGGTGGGCGCTATATTTAGCTCCATATCTATCTACTTAATATGACGGTATAAGAGATAGCGCCGATAGCAATCCCTACTTATGTACCTCCTCTTGTCGAGAGTAGGTCACTAATGTCGGGTAGGTTATCAGGGAAGGGTAGCTGCTATCTCCGTATCTATGATACTGTATGTGCGCATCTTCAGTTCTGAAGGAGTGTCTTTGAAACAGCGTCTCTGTCTTCTCTCGTGATAAAGGACGAATGGGAATTCTAATCTCTAACGCAGACGATCACGGGTCAGCGTTCCGCCCCGTCATTCCACTGGTATTAATTTATCGTTGGGTGTTTAAAATTCACCAGATGGCTGACTCACACAGTTAAAAGGACGATTCTTATGTAGCAGTTTGCTGAACCGATAAAACGTCACCAAAAAATAATATTTTTATACCATATTTACATAAAAATGTGTCTCATTGGATTATAATGATTACATCATAAGGAAGCAGAGCATCGTGTTTACATCTCGCGCTCGAGTTCCGCTGATTATTTTTTCCTTATACGGAACTTTCCAAAAAATTAACACTATGCACCACACCCGAGTTTCGGGTGATATAATCAGGTGGTAACAATTTACCTCATCTATGTGACAATTTCCCTGATTCGTTCAGGCACTGAAAACTATTCATATTTGAAGGTACGGAGTGCTCGAAATTGAACAAAGCATCATGTTTCCTGGCAGCGTTTTCGTCTATAATGACTATCTTAAATTCTCAACAACGATGTCAGATGACCGTCCGTCTAATTTGAAACCTATTTTGCTGTTGATGTCTACTTAATATTACATCTACTTGTTGATTCATTGACATTAAAACGTAACAACGACCCATAATATGTTTATCAGTGATTTGGATATGAAAGTAATTTCTTAGCAAATAAACGAAAAGGAGATTACTTCCACCGCCTATTTGCAAGTAATATATCTGATTACATGCACTCGACATTGAGCATCATGCATTTTATTGCTCACATTCATGGACGTCTTGCTGCCTTTATTGCTATTTCACACTAAAATATCACATTTACACTGTAAATAAGTCCGGCTCTCTGATATCAATTCGTCAACATATATACAAAGTGTACGACCAAATACGAGTTCATTGTCGGTACGGAAAGACAATATCTTAACTAGAGAATTATCAAATCAATATTGAGACATCATGAAGTTCCGACAAATAATAATAATAATAATGATAAATCGGAGGAAACCTTGGCGCTACGAAAAGATGAGCGTTTTTTGCAACCTACATTGTATGTGTTACACATTCTATTAACAACAGTATGAAAGGAATACGAAATGTCGTTAATAAAAATATCAATAAGATATGGCAACAACATATGTTCCGAACAGTTTAGATTCTCATATTTTTGACTTGACGCAAGTGTCAATTTTGAATTCTAAAAAGGCCTAATAACCATATGGATATAGTCATTTCATAAACCCGCAATACAAATTGTACAGGGATAAAACTGCTGAGATAGGCTGGCAAAGACGGTCAAGTTGACGTAACGGGACTAAAGTAAGATGGGATAGGGATTATACTGGCGAGATAAAGGGGGTGTACATAGCCATGTCTGTCTCCATAACCGCTATTCCGGGTATCGTAACGTTACTTTACGGTAACAAAACATGTCAGAACATAGATAAAGGTCCACACATGTTTTGCTTGTTCTAATGTTTACACAATGTTTAAAAAGGAGACAAGAAAATCGTCATAAGGTCTTATAATACAATAAATGATGACAGTTTACAATTATTTTCAAGATAGTAAACTATTAAAAAGACCACAAAAGATGTATACTGAAATTATTCCTGAAGTTGAAAATGGGTATAGTTATATTAATGCTAAATGTCGTTTAAACAGAAACAGTTTCCTGTTTGTGTTCAAAACAAACTTGGATGACTGATGGTTACCATTTTACGAAAACCTGATAATGTCCTGGAAATCGTGTAATTTCGAAGAAATAAACCGCGTACTAGACAAATATGTTATGTTTTATAGCTACAAAACTGTAAATATATATTTTTACTATACGGAGTAAATGATAATAGAAACATTACAGAGGGTTTCGATGAAGTAGAAGTAGTAGTTTACATGTAAGATAAAAAGTAACAATGCATGTTTTATGACATAAAAGGAAATACAGGTACTTACGCCAGAGGACGGACACCCAAACAAACTTCTGTAGAAATATGTATGACATTTTGAAGTCCAAAAAGTTAGTCTTACAATATACAAAACAGTTGTTAGAAATCACACAGTAGAATGAGTATTTGTGGTTACACCACGATTACAGTATACGTCATAACGTGGTGGATATATCGTGGTGTAACGTAAATCAGAGTTAATCCTGTGATGTCCTAATCTAAGAACAAAGGCCCGTAGATAAGACATGTAGTATATGTGTGTGTGTGGCTTGTGATGTGTTACAGGGTAGGTCTAACCTCTCCTGACCTTACATTCCTCATCAATGGGAGAGTAGGAATTCTAATGTTTATGCGGGGTATCACGGGTTTTCTAGTCACGTGACTTTTGTAGTTGACACATTGATGACGTTTACAACAAGGGATTACCTTCATAATGTATGGTTAGTTTGATCATGTTGGCTTGAAATATGGTTTGGGTGTTAGCATTCTTAAATAATTTCATGTAAACAATTTTTTTTCTGATTTTATTTCTAGAAATGTCTCTTACGCTTGATTTACCTAGGATATTTCTTTTATAAAATTCTGGAATATTATTACTAGCATAATAACACATGGTTTTGATAATCACTATCTACATATGGTACAATTTATAATTATCTCCGCATGGCCACAAACAATAGAATATATTTATAGATGCACTGTAACGCAATTGCGATAAACCAACCGGAACGTCAGTCGACCGAATTTCTAAAATATTTCAAATTCAGAAACAAAGGCGAGTATTGTCGATAAATAAGCAACATCATAACTGGTTATAAAGACAAATTAAGATGATCATGTAAACAATCGAAAAATCGATATCAATAGTGTAATAAATTATAAACAATACAATATAGCTTTGTGATTTGGAGAATAACTGTGTTAGCTCGTGCTCACTCTAAAACATTGATGATAGAATCGGTTCGGAAATTGCCGATAATCTACTAAAGGGTCCCGTATGTTTGGGGAATAAGGACAGATGAAAGGTATGGGGAAGACGGGAACACTTTTATCACCAATAGTTTATGTAGTGGTGACGGGGTTCCTATGTAGTCGATTGACGAAGGAGTTCTTTTGTTTGCTTTGGTTAATGCAAGGTTGCGTCAGGGTCACTCTTTGGGAAGACACGGTCATACCTTTTTTTCTTAAAAGTTGCTGTTATTTAAGGAATAGCTTTTATTTTCATTTTGGTCAGGTTATGAGATGATCTCTGGTTTTGGGAAGAATGGTTATTGAG